CCTGCATGACCAGTGGAGGTGGGCTCTGTTCTGTAAAGTTTAGTGAATTTTTTGGTGGTGCTGACAAGTGAAGCCAGGGCTTCATCCATGCTGACAAATGTTCTGCTACTGAGATACAGCCTCTGTCCCTGTTCAATGAATTTTGACAAATGCACCCACCACTAGGGTCACATACAGAGCAGTTTCCCTGCTTCCCCTGCTTAACTCTCCCTATCCCTAGCAGCCACTGATCTGTTTACCATCTGTATTTTTCTTCTTTTTCAGAATCTTAGAGTTGGGTTCCTATAGTATAGTCTTTTCAGACGGGCTGCTTTTGTTGGGTGACACGCATTGCTCCAGAGTATGGTTATAGTGATGTCTTGTGTGGTTATAGTGATGTCTTGTAGGTATCAACTTGCTGACTTTCTCATTGTCTGCATTTTGTTTTTCTGTTCTCTGGATCAGATGTCTTGTGTGGTTATAGTGATGTCTTGTAGGTATCGACTTGCTGACTTTCTCATTGTCTGCATTTTGTTTTTCCTGTCCTCTGGATCAGCTGCTACAGATTGGTCTCTGATCCAGGGACTGGCTCAGCCTGATTCCTTTGGCCAGATCTTAAGTTGTGCTAGGTCTTCTTTAATGACACACAGATCTGATCTACTTGATGTTGAACAGACAGATTCTTAGATTGGAAGTAGATAAACTCACTTTTTGGAGACTTAAATGATCTGCCATATAGATACTTGAATCATCTTCTAGTATTTTATGTTGGCAGGCACTTGTAGAAAGTGTTGAAGAACAGGAATTAAAGTAGAACTGAGTGTTAGTAATAGGTATCATGACTTGGTAGCAGCTCTTGTGTATAAGACTCTGGGAACCAAAGGAGAACAGCAGGTTAAAATAAGGCTTCAGGGTGACCTGCTTGCTCCATGTGCATGTGCACTGACACTTGGGAAGCTGAGGCTGCTTGGCTGAGTCATTAGTACCAGAGCCTTTTACTTCATCCCTACTTCTGCCAGATGTGTGACGTGGACTTCCCATTTGTGATTGTGATACCCCACATGTATCCAGCAGTTTACATTTTGTAGAGCACTTGTCACACATAACGTCATTTGGTTTGGTACTCTTGGTAGCCTTTTTCGGTAGGCCTGGCAGGTGGGTCTCTTGGCCTGTTTGAGAACACAGCTAGCTGGTCCTTCATTGGCCCAATGAAGGTTTTGACTAGGTGGATGCTGAGATCTGTGTTAGCGCTCTGTCTGTGTTGAAGGTCCGAGTTGGCTCTCCAGGGTCTCCAGAGTTGTGGGTTTGTTTGAGAAGTTGGTCTGATTCCAGTCAGGTCTTCAGCTTCAGGTCTTCCCTTGGTTTTTCACGGACAGTAGAATGTTTTCACCTGGTGCTTCAATTATATCAAGTTCATGGTGGTAAAAAAGTCACTGTATGAGAATTAGACTTACCTTCTTAAACTTATCTGCTTTTAATGGAGCAGTTGGAAGTGTGTGACTTGTGTGCTGATTTTTTAGTTGTAGATATGGACACAATACATTTTTTAAAAAAAATATTTTTTAGTTATAGGTGGACACAATGTCTTTATTTTACTTTTATGTGGTGCTCGCCTCACACATGCTAGGCGAGAGCTCTACCTCTGAGCCACTACCCCGGCCCAATACCTTTATTTTTATGTGGTGCTGAGAATCGAACCCAGTGCCTCACAGGTGCTAGGCAGGCGCTCTCCCACTGAGCCACAACCCCAAGCCTGTGGGCTTGTTTTTATGGTGCTCGTTTACTTCTTTGAACTGGACTGTTCAGTGAGTTGTCTGCCCACTAGTGTGAGGCCTTGTGTTTGACTGCAAGGGCTGTGCCATAGAGTGTTGAGCTCTGTGCTCAAATTCCATCTCTCACGTACAAACTTCTCTGATTTTCCCCCAACCTTCCATGATCAGATATGCTTTTCTTCTTTTAATCATCATAGTTTTTCATGTATGTCTTCAAGCATATGTGTGTAGATTCTCTGTGTGTTGTTTATTATTATGCTGTGGTTTCTCACCCCTTTTAAAACATACACCTCAGTGACTTTTCATAAAGTGAATGCATCACCACTGCAGGGGGCACGGGGATGGCACTCATCACCCCAGGACCCCCATCAAGCCACTGTGTCCCTCCCCTGGCCCTCTGGGAATCATTGGTGTAGATTTCCACAGCCCTTGATTGGCTTTGCTGCTTCTGTGAGGGGAGCCCGCCATATGCATTTGCCTGTCTCACTGCTCCCCTCAGTGTGGTGTGAAGTCCTGCACCCCGCAGAGTGCCCTGTAGGCCCCTTGCTTTGCTGTGTAGTCTTCTATGAGCTGATCACACATCCATTCATCTTTCCTCATGGGGAGTATTTTGCCTACTTCTTATGTTGGGGTATTACAAATAACATTGCTGTGAAATTCTGATCTGCAGTGTCTTCTTTTGCACGTAAACCTAGAAGTGGAATTGCTGGGTTTCATGCAGTTTGATACTGGCTTTCCCTGTATTTGTGAAATTAAGAAACCTACAACAAATAGTAAGAGCACTGTGTGAATGTCACATAGTTTCGTAGAGTTCCCAGAGGTTCAGCTTTTGCCCTTCATTTATGCCTCTGTATGCCTTTCTTCCTGAGTCCTCTGGAGTTTGTTGTAGACTCTCATAGAATCTACCCTTAAGTGCACCTCCCCTAAGAACCAGCTCATTATTCTCCATAACCACAGTGCAGCGATCCCAATCCAAGTGTAGTTTTAATAGAATCATATTTTCTAACATATCCCTCTTTAAATGCCCCACTTGGTAGCCTTTCGAAACTCTTAACAAAAACCAGAGATAATCAGTTTATAAGGAGAAAAGGTTGATTTTGGCTGACAATTTTGGAGATTACAACCTATGTCGGTTGGCCTCATTGCTTTGGGATTGTGGCAGGCAGCACATGGTGGCAGGAGCCAGTGGCTGAGCAGAACTGGTTATTCACAGTGCCCTCCAAGGGCATGCCCCCAGTGGCCCAGAACCTCCCACTAGGCCCCTCTGTTAAATGAGTTCCCATCACCTCCCAGTAGCTCCAAGCTTCCAGATCCAAGCTACAGCTCTACTTTCCCAATGATGCTGCTTATGACTTGAGATCATTGGGTTATAGGATTCAGCCTAGGATCATGCAGTGCATTTTTTTGTGGGTCTCTTCAGGTTCTGTTCATCTAGAGTTCTCCAGCTTTTTGTCTTTTGTACATGGTGTCTTTGGAGAGCACAGAACAGATATTTTGCAGAGTCAGTTTGGACTTTTTGAGTTTTTCTCTGAGCAGAGTCAGGTGTGGACCTTGCTGGAGGCAGTGCTGTGTCATGGATTGGGTTGTTTTGCTGGAGAAAGTTCAGTTTGATTAAGGTGGTGTTGACCCAAGTTCTCAGTCCTAAAGGAAGCGTTTACATTTTGAGTTTCTAGGTAAAATCACATGATATAAAATTAACCATTTAAAACCATACACTTCAGCAACTGTGAGTGTGTGCTCAGTCCTGCGGCCACCACCACCTCCTCGGGTTGCAGCCCGTTTTTACCCTGCTCTCCTCCCCAGCCCTGGCAGTCTGGGTGTGGGTGGAATCCTACTCCCTGTGGCCTTTGGTGTCGGGCTTCTTTTACTTGGGTCATGTGTTGTGTTCAAGGGTTGCTGCCTTTCGGCTTGTCAAGTCCTTCTTCCTGTTCATGGTGAATTGCACTCCACTGCAGTTTGTTTGCCCCATCATCATTTGGCGGGTATTTGGTCTGTTTCTGCCATTTTAGCTTTTGTGAATTACTGATATTTTTTTACCCAATGGTTTTAGAGTCCGTTGCCGATTCTTGCTCGAATCAGATATTACTATGGTTATAGAGTGGAGATTTTATATTTTTGGCCTTCCACTATAATTGTTAGTTGGAATTCACCTGTGAAGATGACTTAGAGTTAGTGTGTGTCTCTCTAGTATTAATTTCAATATGGGCTTGGAATTTTTACTCAATGTAAATGATTTGTTCTTGCTGGAATTCCTTAAGATGTCATCTCCTTTTAGTTGTCCCCTGTAGTGCTGGAAGTCAGCCTTCCTTTTGAGTGTTGCGGTTGCATAAGAATTGTTTACCACTGTGCTCATACTTGCTGCTGTTAAAATGTTTTGTTTATGTGGTCTATTTCTTAGCAGTAAATTGTTGTTACTTTTTTCTTGTTTGTGTATATTGTTTTGATTCAACCTCTCCTATTCCGTGTGTGTGTGTGTGTGTGTGTGTGGTGTTTTCTTTTTGGAGGTTGGTGGCTGGGGGATCAGGTATTGAACCCAGGTGCTTAACTACTAAGCAATATCCCCCACTCTCTCTCCCCCACCCCATCCCTGCTCTTTTATTTTTTGAGACAGGGTCTTGCCAAATTGTTGAGGCTGACTTTGAATTTGCCATCCTCCTGCTTCAGCCTCCCAAGTTGCTGGAATTACAGGTGTGCACCACCTCCTACAGCTGTGTGTGGTTTCTGTTTTGCTTTTTTGCTTCTAGGTGTGTGTGCTCTTGAAACCAGGGTTATCAAGCCTCAAATGATACTCACGGTGTGGGTAGCTGGCCTGCAGTGGGACAGTGCCCTGTCGATTAGGGTGCCTGTTGGGATTGGGGAGGAAAATGTGGTAAACATGCCACTAGCTTTTCGGGCTTTGTTTTTGTTCTTGTGTTTCCACAGTACGGTCATGCTATGTTGCTGGGCTGCCTTCATCTCATGATTCTCTAGCCTTTGCTCCCCAGGTAACTGGGATCACAGGTGTGTTACCACCACACCTGGCTACTTACTGGGTTTTGACATTGAGGTCATGGGCTGTCTTTTCATATGGCGCTAATTTTAAGATAAATGAAATAAATCTCTTTAAGGGGAATTGAAAGGATGAACAGTCATTTGCAATAAAATTCCCTTTCCTTTCCTCCAGGATGGCTTGGCTTGGCTTTGGCATTTCCCTTTTACCTCTCCTGTTGCTTCCTGCACTACTTACTGATTCTCTTCTCTGAATTTCAGGCAAAGTCCTGCGTCTGCCATGTCTGTGGCGTCCACCTGAACCGTCTCCACTCTTGCCTCTACTGCGTCTTCTTTGGCTGTTTCAATAAGAAACACATCCACGAACACGCCAAGTCCAAGCGGCACAACCTGGGTAAGGCGCCCTCCTGAGGCGGGAATGGGCATTGCCCAGCTCTCTGTCCTGTAAATTTTGTGATTGTCTCCATGTAAAACACTACAGGGGAAGTGAAGGGTATAAACTGAGCTCAGATGGATGATGTGCCCAGTTTGCCTGAAGATTTATTAAGTTGTTTTAACATTTTATGTGAATTTAAATGATAAATGGCAGCTACTGTTTGTTGTGTTTGGCTAATTTTCTTTGAAACTTTGATGTGTATTCTTCAGTGCTTTCCCAATGAATGAATATCAGATCTTCATTTTTCCCTTTGAAATATATAGTAGGAACCAAAGTAGGCAAGTTCATGAAAAGACAAGTTCAACATTGTGTGGCATCAAGATACATTTCTTTCATGTGCTTAAAAATTCAAACTCCTTGGGCTGGAGCTGGAGCTCAGTGGTAGAGTGCTTGCCTAGCATGCGTGAGGCCCTGGGTTCAATCCTCAGCACCACATAAAAATAAACAAAATAAAGTCATCTGTCCATCTATAACTACAAAAAAATTTTAAAAAATTCAAACTCCTACATTCTGAAGTTACTTAAACTGTTTTACTCTTGGCTTTATTTAGTTATTCGGTTCTGGAGAATGGAACCCAGAGGTGCTTTACCAATGAGCCACATCCCCAGTGCTTTTTATTTTTTGAGTTAGGGTTTCACTAAGTTGTTTAGAGCCTTGATTAGTTGCTGAGACTGGCCTTGAACTTGGCAGTCCTCCTGCCCCAGTCTCCCAAATCATTGGAAATACTGTTGTCATTAAATATTTCTTTCTTTCCTGCAAAGTAGCACCTTCAGTTAAATGCTTGTGAGGTCTTGAGACTCTCCTTTACAAGATCATTTTCAGAGGGTCCAAGCTAGAGAAACTCTTTTGGAAAACGCTTCATGTGGACCTAGCAAAAGATGTTTTTCTGCTTCTTTTCCTAAAAATGTGTAATCTCATGCTCTCTGGAACACATTAGCCTAAACATCCTAATCACAAACAGCATGATGCAGGTTTGTCACGTTGCTGCACAGACTCCCTGTAGGCAGTGTACACGGGAAGCCTGAGCCCCGTGTTTTGGTTAAGACTAAAGTAGACACGTGTCTTCTATACTCTCCTTGAAAGAGCGAGGAGACTGACAGCAGAACTGGCGTCTGGGTTGTGTGATGTGTTTATGAGCCAGCTGCTGTGTTGTGGGGGCACGGAGGCTGTCACCTCAGCATCATGCTGGGTGCAGCAGCACTTTTGTTGTAAAGGAAACGTTTCTTAATTTCTGTTTGACATGGACTAGCTCATATTAAAGCAAATACAAAAATTCATCAAATAAAAATCCATTATCCGCAGGGCACAGTGACTCTCACCTGTGATCTCCGTGCCCCGAGAGACTGAGGTGGGAGGACTGCAAGTTGGGCCAGCCCTGGCCACTTAGCATTAACATCGCATGGCATCAAGATGAATTTATCTTTTATATGCTTAAAAAATAAAAAGGGCTGGGGATGGAGCTCAGTGGCAAAGTGCCCCTGGGTTCAATCTCCATCGCCCTTCAGCCATTTGTCATGTGGCTTTGTAATTCACCTCAAGTTTTGTGAGGGGCCATTTATTTATTTATTTTTGAGATAGGAGAAATTATAGTAACTCAGTCATCCCCAGTGGACCTGATTTCCATCTAATAGCAATTGTCTGTAAAAAGACTGCTTGGAATTGGGTGCTTCGCTTGTAACAGTGAGCTAACTGGCCTATCAGGGAGGAGAGCCAATGGTACATAGGGCTCTGGTCAGCTACAAACCCAAAGGGGGCCCCACAGTCAGTAATGACTTTTTGAATGGGTGAGGGAAGGGATACTGAGAGGTCAGTGTGGCTGTAATAGACATCTGTGATTTCTACTTTTAATGGTACAAATGACGTGTTCCTGCTGTAATTGAATTTCAGATCAGTTTAGAACCAGATAATGGTATAGTTAGAAGAATATGGAATATTGGAAATATATTTTTACTTTGTAAATATGATGTTAATTCATTTTAGCAACCTGAGTGATAAATTTTGCCCTTACTTCAACTAGAATGAGTAAGCTTTTATAAATGTTGCTTTAGGAAACAAAACCATGGAATGGGAGAAAGATGTGGCCCTCTGGTGTGTGTTTTGTGTTTTGTTTACGACGTGATGCATGAATAGGCTACTTCCAATGCTCATATCTTTTTTGTTTTTGTTTTGTTTTTGTTTTTAGTTTTCAATGGACACAATACCTTTATTTTATTCATTTATTTTTATGTGGTGCTGAGAATCAAACCCAGTGCTTCACACATGCCAGCAAGCACCCTACCACTGAGCTATAACTGCAGCCCAAGTACCCACATCTTTGATTCTGCTCGTGCGTCCACCTGCAGTCTTGTAATTGTGTTATAATAAATTTCTCTCCATCTGAGAACCTCGTCAGTCTCCTTTTTTTTTTTTTTTTTGGTAGAAGAAAATAATCATTGGTTCTGAAACCTATTTTTTCAGTCACTTTCAGTATCAATTTTTATGTGAAGAAGAAAAAAACTCACTACTTTGGATTTAAATTTTGATAAGACAGAGCTCAAAAATCTGACAAGTACATTTTTTTCTTTTGTTGTTTGTGCTTTCAGTGTTATGTTCAAGAAATTATTGTCAAATCCAAAGTCATGAAGCTTCCCCCGCCTTTTTTTTCCTTTAAGTTGTGATTTAAATTTTATACTTGATGGTCTTTGATCCATTTTCACTTAATTTTTATATATGGTGTTAGCTAAAGTTTTGCTCTTCTTGCATGTTAGGGACACAGATTTTCTAGCATCAGTTATTGAAAAGACTTTCCCCAGAAGGATCTTGATACCCTATTGAAAAATCACTTAACTGTACACAAGTGATTTTATTTCTGGGTGCTCTGTTCCATTGGTCTGTATGTCTGTCTTTAATCAGTGTCACACAATTGATTATTGTAGCTTTGTATAGTAAATTTTGAAATCAATAAATGTATCCTCCACCTTTGTTATTCTATTTTAATATCGTTTAGCTGTTTGGGGTCGTTTGAGGTTCCAAATGAGTTTTAGATGGATTGTTTCTTTCTACAAAAATATCTTTGGGATTGTAGTAGAGGTTGCATTGAATCTGTAGATTACTGGGTGGGATTGTCTTTTTTCCCTCTCTTTATTGTTGAGATGCTGTCACTGCGTCATCCAGGCTGGCCTTGAACTCCTGATGTCAAGCAATCCTTGTGCCTCAGCCTTGTAGTTGACACTTATAGGCAGGTGACTAGTATTGTCATCTTAACATTAGGTCTTCCAGCCCATGAACATGCCATGTTTCATTTATTTGTCTTAACTTTTAGCAATATTTTGTGGGCTTTAGTGTATGATAAAACTTGATTGAGTGTATTCTTGAGCTATTTTATTAGCTTTGATACTGTTGTAAGTGAAATTATTTTCTTAATTTCCTCTTCGTTTTGCTCATTGTTATTACATAGAAATAAAACTGTTTTTTTGTGTGTTGGTTTTTGTAACCTGCAGTTTTGCTGAATTATTAGCTTTTTGTTTTTTTAAAATATTTATTTAGTTGTAGATGAACACAGTATATTTATTTTTATGCGGTGCTGAGGATTGAACTCAGTGCCTCACATATGCAAGGCAAGCACTTTACCACTAAGCCCCAGCCCCAGCCCCTGAATTATTAGTTTTTATGGATTATTTCTTTGGGAAAGGGTAGACTCTTTAAGGTTTTCTGCATAAAATATTGTGTCATCTGGAAACAGATACTACTTTCTTTCCAATCTGAGTGCTTTTTCTTTTCATTCCTTGCCTCATTGCTTTGGCTAGACCTTGCAGTGTTGTGTTGAATAGCAATAGTTTAAAAGGTATTCTTGTCTTTTTCCTGGTCTTGGAGAAAAGCTTCAGGTTGTCACCACTGTCATTTCAGCTGTGTGTTCATGTGTCCTTTGTCATATCAAGGAACTGGCCTTCTCCTTCTAGTTAACTCATTGGTTTTATCTTGGAAGGGTATTGAATTTTGTCAGGTGCCTTTTTTGCATCAATCTCTGATTGTGGGGCAAGGGCTTAATGCTTAATGTTTGCAGTTTTTGTTTGAGGTAATGAAAAAGGTTTGAAATATGTAGAGTAATAATAGGTTTACAACATTATGATCATAATTAATGTCACCGAATTGCACACTTCAAGAGGGTTAAAATGACAAATTTTGTGTATATTTACCACAATTTTAAAAATGCTTACAAGAAAGTTATTGATACAGCCCTCCATATACCTAGATCCCACATGAGCAGATTCAGCCAGCTGTTGATTGAAAATATTTTTGAAATATTATGTCATTGCTGACATCACTCCATAGTTGAACCTATGATGGTTTTGTCTGTCCTGAGCATATACAGACTTTTTCTTGTCATTATTCCTGAAACAATACAGTGTAACAACCATTTACATAGTGTTTACATTGAATTGGGTGTGATTAAGTAATCTAGAGATAACTTTTAAGTAAATAGGAGGGTATGTGTAGGTATATGCAAATGCCACACCCTTTTATGTAAGGAACTTGAGCACCCAGAGTTTTGGTATCCACAGGAGATTCTGGAATCAATTCCCTGTGGATATAGGTGCAGTTTGAATGGATTCTATGGTATATAAATGATATTTCACTAAAAAAGGAATAGGCCATGTGACCAAATTCCCACAGGCCAGAGGGGCTGAAAATTGTGCAAATGACAGAAAATTGAAGGCTTTTTGATTTCTGTTTTGGTACTGGGGATTGAACTCAGAGATTCTTTACTACTGAGCTACATCCCCAGTCCTTTTTATTTTGCAAAGTTGCCAAGGCTGGCCTTGAACCCATGATCCTTCAGCCTCAGCCTCCTGAGTCTCTGGGATTACAGGCATGCCCAGTGGAAGATGGAAGGCTTTAGTTCAGAACTTTTTAGTATTTGAAAATGAGTGCTATTTTCTCCCAAAGATCATTCTTATAGTGTAACATGATCAAAAAGCTATGGAGCATATTGAAAAGTTAAAAGACAGTTGCTGGATGAAATGTGCTTTTACTTGTGTGCCTCATTGAGTTCAGACAGTTCAGTGACCAGGTACAAATTTGATCCCAGTGTTCTGTCACCTTACAGGGTCAGCAACATTATTGCCTGTCCACAGATGGAGCCTTAGGTGGAAGCAGACCCTGTGCTGTGCTGGTGCCTTGCAGGGAAAACATAGATGCCCTGCTGAGCCACTGGTAACATGGGCTGAGTAAGGAGGGTGAAGGAACTTGTTCAGGTTACAGGACTGAGATAGGGCAGTGCCAGCATTGGAGTCCTGACTTGTCAGACCTCAAAGCCTGTGTGCTTTCTTTAGCAAAAACTTCCTTGTCCCCTCCTGCCCTACTCTTTCCTTTCCTTTCTCCCTGGCTAAAGGGGGAAACCTGTTTGGTGTGCTTGTGATGCCTAGATTATCGTCCTCCTCAGATGGCCGCACATGAGAGAACCAGTGGGGTGGGTTGCTGTCCCTTGAGAAATGGCCTGGAGCATGGGAGAGCGTCCTGCAGGAGTTGGGGAGAGAGGAGGGGGCACTCAGAACACTACCTCCTGTCCATCATACTCTCTCACCTCCAGTTCCCGCAGAGTCTCGTCTGCTGTCTTGAGGATTTGACTGTCCAGAACATTTCTTGTAAATGGAATCATGAGTATGTGACCTTTAGTATCTGACTTCTGTTTCCAGTTTATTTTCAGAACTCATCAAAGTTGTAGTATGTGTTGGTATTCCACTCCTTTGTAGAGCTGAATAATACTCCATTGTGTATATACCACATTTCTCCATTTATCTATTGATGGACATTTGGATCGTTCTCACCTTTGGGCTCCTATTGAATAAATACTGCCACAAACGTATGTGTGATTGTAGGTGAACATATGTTTTCATTTTTCTTTGCTATAAACCTAGAAATGCAACAGCTGAGTCATTTGTTAATTTTGTGTTTTGACTTTTGCTAAACCACCAAACTTTTCTGTGGTGTCTGCATCATTTTATCCTCCCACAGCGATGTATGAGGGTTCTAGTTTCCCTGCCTCCTCACCAGCCGACACAATGTATGAGCATCTAGTTTTTCTGCAACCTCACCAACCAACACTTTCCCCCTTTTCTTTTTAAAAATAGCTTTCAGAGTGGTTGTGAAGTCATATCTCCGTGACTTCGATTAACATTTTCTTTTTCTTTTGCAGTACTGGGGACTGAACCCAGGGGCCTGGGCTTGCAAGGCAAGCATTCTTCATTTGCATTTTCTTATTTTTTTTAATATGATTTTGATTTTTTTAGCACCTTAATTTCATTTATTTATTTATTTTTGGTGCTGAGGATCAAACCCAGTGCGTCACACATGCAAGGCAATTGCTCTACCACTGAGCCCCAGCCCCCAGTTTGCATTTTCTTAATCACCAATGTTGATGAACATTTTTTTTGTGGACCTTTTGGGTCATTTTTGTATATTTGAAGAAATACCAGTTTGAGTCCATTTGCCCATATTCTAATGGGATTCTTTTTGTTCCTAATATTATGATGTGTGTAACTTTCTATTCTGGATGGATGTATGATTCACAAGTATTTTCTCCCATTTTTTAGGTTGTCTTTTTCACTTTCTTGATGATGGTTTCTGATTTAAAGTTAACTTTTTTTTTTTTCTTGGTTCTAGAGAATGAACCCACTAAGCCTCATTCCCCTCCTCTCCTTTTACATTTTATTTAGAAACAAGGTCTCAATGAGTTGCTTTGGGCCTCACTAAGTTGCTGAGGCTGGCTTTGAACTCGAGATCTTATTGCCTTAGCCTCCTGAGCCACTGGGATTACAGGTGTATGACACCGTGCCTGGCAAAGTTTTAATCTTGATGAAGTCAATCTTACCTATTTTTTCTTTCTTTTTTTGGTCGAGGAGGGTGTTACTGGAACTGAACCTGTACTGAAGATTGAATTCCGGGGGTGCTTGGCCACTGAGCTACATTCCTATCCCTTTTTGTTTTTTAATTTGAGACAGGGTCTTGCTAAATAGCTTAAGGCCTCACTAAGTTAATAAGACTGGTCTCTAACTTGTGGTCCTCCTGCTTCAGCCTCCAAAGTTGCTGGGATTATAGGTATGCACCCCTGCACCTGGCACCTAGACTTGAAGACATGGTCTCACTGAGCTGTTGAGGCTGGCTTCAGTGGAGCCTGTTTCAGCACCCCTAGTGGTTGGGATTCCCGGTGTGCGCCATCAGGCCTGGCTCTCTGTTTTTCTTCTGTTGCTCATATTTTGCTGTCAAATCTCAGAATCCATGGCCAGATCCCAGGCCAAAGAGATTTATCCCCGTGCTGTCTCCTGAGAGTTTTATCTCATGTTTAGGTCTATGGTCCATTTTGAGTTGATATTTGCATGTGGTGTGCGGTAGGAATCCAGCTTCATTTGTGTGTGGACATCACACTGTCCTGGCACCATTTTCTCAAGAGACTCTATTCTTACCTCAGATGATAAGAATAGAGTCTCTTGAGATTCACCAGAGTATTAATCTGAGTCATAGTAACTTAAGACATTAAAGAAAGTTGGCCTTTCCTCTGGGTTCTGCATCCATGGATTTCACTAATTGCAATAGAAAAATATTTGGGGTCAGGGAGGAGATTGTGCTTGTACTAAACACATACAGGACCCCCCCCCCGCCCCGATTCTTAACAGTACAACCTAACAGTCGTTTACCTAGCATTACATGGTGTCAGGTGTTATATGTAATGTAATGATGGTTTGGAGTCCACGGGAGGATATTTGTAGGTTATATGTAAACACTGTACTCTATACATAAGGGACCTGAGCACCTGCAGATTTTAATATCCAGGGGTGTCTTGTAACTCATCTCCCACCGATGCTGACGGACCAGTGTATCGCAAAATCTATGTTTTATTAAGAGACGTAAGTATTTATCATGTGATGTACTTAAGTCATATGTCCTGATTTAATAATCACACAAACCTAAGAGATGTGCTACTGTACTGTCACCATTTTACCAGAGAGGAAACTGAGACTCAAAGAAGTGGAGTAATTTATGAAGGGTGCATAACTGGTAGTTGGCAGAGCGAGGATTAATCCAAGTTGTTCTAAGTCTGTGCTTTTTATCCTCCTACCTTGTCCCATACATCTGATGGTGCTTGATGTACACCCATTTTTTTTTTTAAAGAGAGAGAGAATTTTTTTAATATTTATTTTTTAGTTTTTGGTGGACACAACATCTTTGTTTGTATATGGTGCTGAGGATCGAACCTGGGCCGCATGCATGCCAGGCGAGCGCGCTACCGCTTGAGCCACATCCCCAGCCCCTACACCCATTTTTTAAAAAATTTTATTTTTTAGTTGTAACTGGACACAATACCTTTATTTCACTTTTTTATTTTTAGGTGGTGCTGAGGATCGAACCCAGGGTCTTGCACGTGTGAGGCGAGCGCTCTACTGCTGAGCCACAACCCCAGCCCCCCCCCTTTTAATTGTTGAATTCAGAAAGTGTATTTCAGGTGCCCAAAGGACTTTGTCTATAGAATAAAGTAATTAAGAGCCCAGGTATTGGTCCTGTTTTCCAGATGGCACAGTTGAGAAAGCATAAAAGATTCATGTCCAGGTGGGCGGGAGGCAGCTCTGGCTGAGAAGTCAGATTGTCTGATTAGAAACTCTCACCTCTGTTCTTAGAAAAAGAGCAGTTAATAGCCTTTATCCGTGAAGTAACAGCACATATCGCTTGCTTTCCTTTTCATGATAGGACCAGGAATTCTCAGTGTAGTAAAGCATTTTTACCCTGTCAGGTGGCCAGGAATCCTTAAGAACCTAAAATGCTAGTTTTAAATGTCACACTTTGTCTAAGTAACTTGACTTGTATCCTGAGTCCTGAAGCATTGCCTTCCATGTTAAATTGAGTTTCCTTGGGCTGGGGTTGTGGCTCAGTGGCAGAGCACTTGCCCCGCACATGTGAGGCACTGGGTTCAATCCTAAGCACCACATAAAAATAAATAAACAAAATAAAGATATTGTTTTCCATCTATCACTAAAAAATTTGAAAAAAAAAATTAAATTTCCTTGTCTCCCTTCTTTATCTGCAGCCATCGATCTCACGTATGGAGGCATCTATTGCTTTTTGTGTCAGGACTACATCTATGACAGAGACATGGAAATAATTGCCAAAGAGGAACAGCGGAAGGCTTGGAAGATGCAAGGTTGGGTTCTGCCTGAATTTACTTACTTGCTTTGTTTCTTAACCCTGTGGTTTCCTCAGGTCTGTCAAGAGCAAAACTTGGTCATAGAGAACACCCAGGGCTGAGTGAAACGGATGCTGCAGTCTCTGTGCTCAGGGACTGGAGGCATTTGAAAAAGGAATCATCTTGCATTCTTGTTGGGGTGGCTTTAATGGGCAGTTTGCAGGAAATGTGGTGTATTCATAGACCCCACCAAAGGCGAGCCGGTCACCCATCTGTGCAGTAGGGGGTTAGAAAACCCTGATATCAGGGCTGCCGCTCTTTCAAATACAGCCTGATAACGAGTATAGAACCCCACAACTTTTGTTATAAACACACTTGAAAATTGAGCCAACAGCACTTGGAACGTCTTTCATCTCCTTAGGTGCTGGAGAGAAGTTTTCAACTTGGGAACCAACCAAACGGGAGCTGGAACTGCTGAAACACAATCCTAAAAGGAGGAAGATCACCTCTAACTGCACCATAGGTGGGTAGAAGGCATCTTGCCGAGCAGAGTCTGTTTCTACTCCTACGCTCATAATGCAGCAGGAGTCTGTTTAATTCCTGCTTGACTGCATGTCATTGGTTGGCCTGCTCAGCATCCAGGTCACAAGCACCCTGCTCTCTACAGGGAGTGCCATGGGCTTGGGGTGCAGAGGAATGAGTGGAGGTGGTTCCTGCCCTGTGACCTTTAGAGTTTGCATCTCTTAAGGAACCCAAGTGTTTTTTGGCCACGTTAATCTTCAGTGATAGAAGTGATGTGGCTATGCGAGGGTGTTTGATAAGTATTGTAAGAAGTGAGAAATGCATTTTAGAACATTTTAAAAGCAATTTGTTTTGTTGGAGGCTCTTTTCCAACCTGTATTTTTATCGAAAACACAATTGGGCAGTGGTTTTAAAAACATGACAGCCAACGAAGGGATGTTGGTAGTGGACATTCCTCAATACAGTTCATATAAAAATGGTCTCAAAATTAGGAAAGTATTATATTTCTTCTTGCTCTTTTCTTCTTGAGTGAACTAATAAAGGAAGGTGATCGTGTAGACCTAAAGGAAGCCCCCAGCACGTGGCAGCATACCACCTGTAGTTCAGTGCACTAGTCACTCCCGACGTCTCTGGTTCATTCTCAGGTCTGCGAGGGCTCATCAACCTTGGGAACACGTGCTTCATGAACTGCATCGTCCAGGCTCTGACCCACACACCGCTCCTGCGTGACTTCTTCCTGTCTGACAGACACCGGTGTGAGATGCAGAGCCCCAGCTCCTGCCTGGTCTGTGAGATGTCCTCACTCTTCCAGGAGGTGAGTGCTGCCAACTCAGCTGTGGAATATCTTACAACTGCTTTCTTTTGCCTTAAAAACAGGATTGGCCATGATAAATTTCCAGAACTTTATGTAGTGAATAAATTTTTGATAGGTGCTTTAACTATGGATGACAGTTTTTCCAAAAGAGATTGTCAAATGATGAGAGGCTGTGGGCATGGCCTTTGGAGACACACTGCTGACCCAGGATGAGAAAAGGAGCCCTTGCAAGGGTTGTGGCAGAGTCAGCTAGTGGAACACACTCATCTCCGTGAATACTGGCAGTTCACTCTTAAATCCTGTAGTCGGCCACATGATCTCGGGAGAACCAGTAGATGTGCTGGCCTCTTTCCTGTTGCATTCTTGAGGGAAGTGGGTCTGCTCTGTGGCTGTCACTGCCAGGCGTGCTTCATCAGAGGCCTCTTCTCTTGTGAGCCTCTGCCCTGCTTGGGTGGCTCTGTTCCCTTGATCTGCCTGTGGCTGCACTCAGTGTGTCCATCCATGTCTGTGTCTGACTAGAGAGAGTGCAGGGTGGAACTCTGGGCTGAGGCCTCAGGACCTACCAGCTTAGTGCCTCCGACTGGGTTTTTAGAGCTCAGGTCTCTCAGTTACTCCAGTGTAAAAATGGGGATGCTGCCTGCCCTATAGGCCTCTAAGAAGACCAGTTGGCAGGCCCAGCCTCCCCTGCTTTCATCACTCATCTTGCTATTTTGTCAGAACGTGGCCACACCCACTGGCTCATGTACTGTTGGTGGCTACTTGGGCCACAGCCTCAGAGTTGAGTAGTTGGATAGAGACCATGTGGCCTGTAGCTGAAGTTACTCTCTTTTGTGCTCTTTTCAGAAACAGTTTGCCAGTCTATCCTAGCAGAAGCCATTTTTCCTATCCAGGTAGTAACTAGGCTTGACCCTGCTTTTGAGATTGGGCAAGATCAGTGCATTCAGAGTGGTATAGCCATAGACCTAGCCTAACCCATTTCTGACTCCTACAACATACTGGTAACTGTGGGGATTTTATTACTGAACAGACTGAAATTGTTGGAGACCAGAATACCTGAAATGATTGGGACACGAAGTGTGTCAGGTCTCAGGGTGTTTTGTATTGTATTTGATAGACCTTGCTAATTGATCATCATTAATAGAAATCCAAAATGCTCCAAAATACACCATGCACTCTCAAGTTTTGGGTTACAAAGCCTTCTGGATTTCAGATTTTCAGTTTTAGGGATGCTAAACCAGTACTAGCATCTCTTTCTTATCGTGGCTGTCCACCTCTCAACGTCTTACAAGTGTAAGACTTGAAGCCTGTGGAGGAGTTGAACATCTTGTTTCCTTGTCCACTTTATGCTGCTGCTAGGTGAACAACTGCCATTTACTGTCAAGCAAAGGAATCTCATGAGTATGTGAATTCTTCTAAATCCTAAAGAACAAAGCTAACTTTGAGATTCTTGATTTACTTATTTTTTTGTGGAGCTGAGGATGGAACCCAGTGCCCTGTGCATGCTAGGCAAGCACTACCACTGAACTCCACCCCCAGCCTATCATTAATAATGGTATATTGGTTACCATGTCATTTTGTTCAGAATTATGAGTCTATTCTTTTCTAAATGAAGTTCATGTTAGGTCAGATGATAAGATCTGAAATGTTCATGTCAGTGGGGACCCTGACCTGAGGTTTGCCTGGTGCTTTGTATGAGGTGACATTGGGCATATTAAGTCCTCTTTTTTTTTTGGACTGGCGATTGAACCCAAGAGTGCTTTACCAGTCCTTTTTATTTTTTTTTTTATTTTGAGAAAAGGTCTTGCTAAGCTGCTTAGGGTCTCTCTAAGTTGCTGAGGCTGGCCTTAGAGTTGCAATCCTCCTGCCTCAGCTTCCCACGTCACGAGGATTATAGGTGTGTGTCCTGTCCTCAAGAGGTCAAGGTATTTTTATTTTCATTTGCTTTCATTAGCAAATTATAATTTATCATGTGGGTTTATCTTTAAAAAATAGGTGGTAGGAAGGAGAAAATCCTATGCAGACTCCAAAAGCCCAGAAAGTCCAAATAAAAATAAGATTCAGCTTTAAAGAAAGAGATGGTTTTGTCAAACCAGACGGCTCCCTTCCTGGGCAGCTGTTCAGCACTTGCATCGTGTTGCATGCTCAGGTCCAGTGTGCTCCCACAGTCCCCCTTTTCTTCTCCCCGAGCAGTTCTACTCTGGGCACCGCTCCCCTCACATCCCCTACAAGCTGCTGCACCTGGTGTGGACCCACGCACGCCACCTGGCCGGCTATGAACAGCAGGACGCGCACGAGTTCCTCATCGCGGCCCTGGACGTCCTTCACCGGCATTGCAAAGGTGGGCCGCTCTGCCCCCCTGTCCTGGCGCCTTCCTCAGGTTATGACAGGAGTCTTCCTCTGAAAGGGAGCAAAGAGGGGAAGTGTGCATGCACCTCCAAAACTGGGGGACATTGCCGAGAATCCCCACTGTTGTTGCATAGACCATATATGACCATATTTTCCTAAGGAGGTTCCTTGTATTTATTTTTAAAAGAGGAGAAAGTAGTTTCACATGTCCTTTGGCAGCTGCATGGTAGGAATCCCCTGTGACCCATCATCGCGAACAGTGAAAGCTCGGAGGCCTCGGCATGTTGTGGCTGCTCTGTGGCTCCTCTGAGTTGTCGTGTCTGAGGCTTCTGAATGTGACTTGTGGTCAGAACTATCCTTCTGCCTTGGGGAGACCACAAACGATTGCTGCTCTGAAACAGAGCACTAGGATCAGGGGCCAAGCCTGTTCGCCTGCCGGTGCGTCCCTGATTTTGATTACAGTCCTGTTTTGATTCTGATCAAAGGCTTTTTATTTTAAGCTCTTTCTTGGGATTTTAATGGAACATGGCTTCTGCCTTAACATAGTCCCACAGCCTGCCTGGGAGCACGGTCCCCCTTCGCGGGTTCTTGGATATGGGTGGGATTTGATGGTTGAGGTGGGGAGGAGGCACGGTGTCTCTTAGGGTAGGAAGTTGAGATTCAGGTGGAGTGGTGGATAGCTCGAAGCATGATTGGGTCCCTTCCTTTTTTTCCTGGTTCTGGTAGAGTTCCCAGTTCCAAGGGCTTGCAGGTTGCCACGAAGCTTGGACGTGGGTTGTTGGCTTCTCACATTGCTGGTGTCTAGTTCAGTAGGTCTGAGGGAGGGTGATGCCGTGGCTGCAGGTTTAGATCTCACCTCTGAAGGCACTGCTGCAGTGAGAAGAGACCTGCTTCCCATCGGGTTCCCTGGGATATGGGCTAGTTTAGCTAAATGTAGGTGGTACCTGCCCAGCTCATTTTCTCTTGAATTGGTATCTTTTAAAGAATAAAGCAGCTGGCTTTCCTAGTGCCCTTCAGTCTTTTGAGGCTACGCTCAGGATGGTGGCCCTTGCACCAGTGCCCTGTAGAGCCTAGGTCACCAGCTCAGAGCCCCAACGCTGGACAGGAGATGGCTTGTTTGAATCAGCTCTCATGCTTTGGGTTCTGTTTTGTTGGTAATTTTTTTTTCCTCTTAAAACATATGTGCTTTTAATACTTATCCTGAGAACCAAATGAAGGTTGCTGAATAGCTTAGATTATATTGGATTTTCTTGAATGATGTGTGTCATACATGCAGAAAGAGCCACCATGAAAGATTACTAAATTAAAGATTATTACTATCAGCAACTTATGAAGGTAATTAAGAACCTCCATAAGCAGGAGAAGTCTGTACTGAAAATTGTTTGAAAATGCATTGCTGTTAAAATGTAGAACAAAAAAACGTGAAACCACTGTTGCCCACTCCTGGAAAGAAATGTCAGCTCTTCTCATTAAAAACAAAGTCATGGACTTGGGGTGTGGCTCGTGTGTCGAGCTTGCCTGACAAGTCCAAAGCTCTGGGTTCCATCCCCAGCACTGCAAAACAAACAAACCCAAAAAATGCAGTTATCAGAGACTTGGCACAGGTCGTGGGCCTGGATGCGCTTGGTTGTGTTGTTCATGAGTTGTCAGCTCTGGGGCATCTTCAGCTCATCTTTCTTTTCATCTTCCTGAACGCACTTTCCATACCTTGTAACATTCTGCCTTGAGAATTCGAGGTTCCTTTGGGCAGTGTTTTCCTCTAATCTTAAATCTGGATGATTGCTCTCAAGACTGGACATTCTTCATTCTGTAATAATTCTGTTTTTTTGATACATAATGTATATGTAAATGGCTACATCATCATCCCCCTTTTAGCTGAATGAAGTTAATTACAGTGTACATTTTAAATATATGTTGTACTCTGCTCTTGAAGTTGTGTATCTGCTTATCTAAGTAGAGTGTGGATGGAACCCAGGGAGGACCTGGGGGTCAGGAAGTGTGGAGCTGATGAGGAACAGTGGGTTGGGGCTGCTGCAAGACATCCTGAGGGAGGCATGGTCTGGTTGAGGGAGGAGAAAGGTGCTTCTCTGATATGACTGATCCAGATCATTATTATTGGGCTTTCTCTCTGGGAAAATATTTATTCAATTATTCTGCATACGAAAAACAGAATCAATAATCCTACCAAGCTGTTAGGTGTTCGGACACTTCATTGCCGAGACAGATGCTAAGGAGAGAGAACAAAGAGCATTAGCATCTAGGTGCTTGGATCTCTCATGAGATTAAAACAATCATGCGCCCCTTTTTCAAGTCTCCGTTGGAATCACAGGTGTCTTCACCCACCTTTTAAAGTGTCAGTATTCCTGGTTTCCTCCTGTCTCTCCTGGGTGGGTGAGGGAACGTGCCGTCTGCTGTCCTGGAGATGCACAGATGTGATGACAAAGCTGTGCTCTGTCCCCAGGTGATGACAATGGGAAGAAGGCCAACAACCCCAACCACTGCAACTGCATCATTGACCAGATCTTCACAGGCGGGCTGCAGTCCGACGTCACGTGCCAGGTCTGCCAGTAAGTGCAGCCCTCAGCCAGAGACAGTCCGCTGCAGCATCAGGACCTGGGTGGGCCACACCAACATCTTAGCACAAGCCCCAGTCAGCAGAACAGTTGTGCTGGGAGTTTTTTAAGTGAACCCTTAACACTAAAGTGGAATCAGCATCGCTTGTTACACTGAGTCCTGAAGGGTAAGGGAGAAACCTCATGAACATGTGGCCCTCAGTGTTGGGGTTTCCTTCGTGTTCAATCCAGCAGGGTGTTCTTGGGAGTTATCCTTCACATTTCTTTGACATCTATCCTCTGGGTAGGTTATCTCATTATTCCACCACGGTTCCTGTGTCCATCTGCTCCCGGGTGGTGACTTTCATTCTTGCCAGGTGCAGCCACCACTTAGCACTTCAGGCCTCAGAACATGGACAAGCATCACCTGGCAGTGAAAACAGAGGACCTGGCATTCCCCCTCAGTGCACATGTGTGTTTTTATTTCAGTTTAGTTTTTTAAAGCCCTGGTCACAATCTACAAAGGTTGTTGAGAGCCCACAGTGAATATGGGGTCCTGGAAAAGGGTCCCTGCTGCTTGGTGTTGCAGATAGAGTTTTCTTTTACATAGCAGAGGTTGTTTGGGCCTTGGCTGTGAGCATTATAGTTTCTCACTGACCCAAGTTACCTACCAAGTTCTGAGCAAGGGGTTGTTTTAGATTTATATTCTGTTTAAATATCTTGGGCAAATATCCCACTCTGAAGAGTTTCCGTTTTTTAATACTTGAATTAAATCTCCAAAGAGGAGCTGGCCTTGGTAAATCCAGTGGTCTACATTCTGCAGAGTCTGCTCAGCTTGGTCAGTGTACATTCAGTGTGATATATGTGTGTGTGTGGGGGGGATCTCTGTGATCCCCATGGGCAGCAATAACCAGTTTCTGGGTATTGGTGCTACTCCAGTTCCCACATGCAGCTGAGGTATACCCAGGGATTCAGAGCCTCTGAACCTAGGGCTTGGGAAATTCACTCTTAAAATCCCTAAATGAAGGTGGTGCTCTCCCAGATTTGACATTAAGAGGCAGCCCTTGCATTACTGGATTTATACACATCCTTACCTTGGGCCACCCAGGACACAGGCTCAAGTACTCCTGCTTGAGCACCCACCCTCAGGCGTTCTTGGAGCACAGAAGCTGCCTCAGGCTGGCACAGAAGCAGCGATGGCGCTCAGCCCTCATGGCGTTTTTCCACTTTCTGCAGCGGCGTCTCCACCACCATAGACCCCTTCTGGGACATCAGCTTGGATCTGCCTGGCTCCTCCACCCCGTTCTGGCCCCTGAGCCCGGGCAGCGAGGGCAGTGTGGTCAACGGGGAGAGCCACACCTCGGGCACCACAACACTCACCGACTGCCTGCGGAGGTAAGGCAGCCATGATGTCTGGTCAGGAGAAAGCTGTAAATTCAGGGCCAGACCAGGGTAGCATTTTCTCTCTACTGCCCAGAGTAGAGAATAGAGAGAATGTATAACATTAGCCTACAGATGGCTGCACGTGCCCAGGAGCTCACACTGGTTGGCTCTTTTCAAATTTTTTAGTATTTCTGTCTTCTGTTTTGCACGACTGCATGTCTGTATCACAGACCACTGACCTTCTCCCACTTCACCCCAGTGAGTAGACTGTGTCACAGACCACCAGCCTTCTCCCACTCACCCCAACCCAGTGAGTGAGCTGAGAGCAAAGAGCAGAATGTGATGCTCCCCACCTTTTGTGGCAGGCAACCTGCACCATAGCGTGGACTAAACACTGGTCCTACTTCCCACATGTGTGGCCTGTCCTGCAAGTGGCTAGAACATCTGTGGTGTTTTGCACTTAACAGCCATTTTAAAGTTGTCCCTTCACTACTTCACTAGTTTAGATAGGTGATAAGACTTAGGATGCTTTTCAAAGGCTCTGCAGAGTTCTCTGTAAGGGAAGTATTCCTTAGAAGAGGGACAAGGTTTTATGATTTATCTTGCTGCATGTTTAAATTTGTTTAACTACATTGACTTTGTTGGATTGATAGGTCCAGATAGTAAATAGGGTATCAGATTGTGGAAAACAACCAACCAACCAAAAACATTTTCTAAGAGTCTTTTTAATTTAACATAGTCATAAATTTCAGTAATATAAAAGTTTGGAGAAAAGATTATGGGAAAAGAAGTTTCATGTTTTTTTCATTGTGGAAAATTATAAACCGTAACTATGAATTACTTCTAAGATGGACATTTTATGCTTTAAATTTTTCTGTGGCAAGTCTTAACAGAAGTGATAAAATATTCTTTTGTTCTTCCTTTTCTGTCCCTCTTCTTTCCCTCCTTTTTTCCTTAAAAACTCCCCTTCTGCCCCTATACTAGGGATTGAACTCAGGGCCTTGCACGTGCTAGGCAGGTGCTCTACCACTGAGCTATATACCCAGCTCTTTATTTTGAGACAAGAAGATGCCCAGGCTGGCCTTGAACTTACTTGATCCTCCTGCCTCAGCCTCTCGTGTTGCTGGGATTCCCTGTGTGCACCACCATGCCCAGCTAAAAACCTTTTAAAAATGTCTTGTAGATTTACCAGACCAGAGCACTTGGGAAGCAGTGCCAAGATCAAATGCAGTGGGTGCCACAGCTACCAGGAGTCCACCAAGCAGCTCACCATGAAGAAGCTGCCCATTGTGGCCTGCTTTCATCTTAAAGTGAGTTTTCCAGAAAACAGCCCAGTGGCAGCTTTAGGGCATTTTATAACTGGCCAGTCAGTAGGCATGCCAAAGGAGCAAGAGGGTGCGAGGCCTAATCCTGTGCTGCCTTCTGTTGCACAGATTTGTGATGGTAACAGAAAGCAAGTGACTCTAGATAGGAGTGAGCAACTTGCATTGTATGTGTATGTAAAAGTTTTATTACTTCCCAAATTCTCCCGTCTCTCCCCTAGTCTGTTTTACTTAAAGCAATTATGATCTAGTCCAGCGTTGGCAGGCTTTTTCTGGAAAGGGCCAGAAATCAATATTTTAGGCACTATATCAAATATTGATGTAGCATATTCTTATTTCAACACACCTTCAAAATGCTAAAAGAAAGGTGCTAGGTCTACAGCTGGATTTGGGTGCCCACATATAGTCCTAGAAATGCCTTTCATTTGATGGAAGGACTGTTCATTTTTGTTGCTACAGGTTAGGGTATTTGTCTTGTTTTCTGCACTTTGCTGGGTTTGTCATGAGGCCACTTTCTTGTACCCCTGGTGTTTATCATGGAGCATGATCATCATTTCAAGGCTTGACTTGAACTTCATACATCAGATCTGTGTGGGTCAGCGTCGGGTTGTTGAATCTAACTGTCAGCACTAGATGTGACCCAAAGGCAATTCAGAAAGTAAAAGGGGACACCCTGACAGCCCATGGGCTGCTGTCACTTAGTCTCCTTGATGTTCCCTCTCCCTCCTCCATTTCTGTAGCGATTTGAGCACTCGGCCAAGCTGAGGCGGAAGATCACCACGTACGTGTCCTTCCCCCTGGAGCTGGACATGACACCCTTCATGGCCTCCAGGTAGGAGTTGCTGTGTCCTGTTGGGGTGGTCATGCAGCACCCACTTTCCAGGGTGAGGCATTTGTCACAAGTAATAAGAAGCTTACTTTTCATAAATGTCATTACTTATCCTGATCCTACCCAAGATCCACTTAAATGAGTTGTTTTTCCTTGGATAGTTTCTTTTGAATTTTTCTCCAGCAAGTCTTTATCAGCTTTCAAACTTTGAAATTCATTGAAGTGAGATATGAGGAGAAGGAACAGATTTTGAAATGCTGATAAACAGCTGAATTTTTTGATTGTGGATTCTGTTTTTTTTATTTTCAGATGTTTATATTATAGAACACTTAAAATCTAACCTTTAGATAAACCAAGCTGCTTACTGATGTATTTGTTTTCATCCACAAACTTGGTGGCTTGCAGTGACAGTGGTTTATTTCCTCATAGTTCTAGAGGCCAGAGATCAGGGTTGGAGAGGGTCCACTTTTGAAAATCTGGCAGCGTCTGTTCCTCACCTCCTCTAGCTTCTGGTGGCTCCAGATCCTCTTGTGGCCACACCACCTCCCGTTCCCTGGCCTCAGGGTCTACCCCTGAGTCTGAGTTCCCTCAGATTCTCTCTCATAAAGACACTGGTCATTAGGGTTAGGGCCCACCCAGGTAATCTAGGCTCAGCGTCCTTGTTCACAAAGACCTTTATTCGTAAACCAGGTCACACTCACAGGTCGTGAGGATTGGGAGGTGAACATTGCTTTTTTAGGGTCTATAGTCCAGCTCACTGCACCGTCTCAAGCGAGTTTTTGTGGTTAGGTATCCACATCTTCCCCTGTCCTTTCTTTTGGTGGCCCTGTCCCCGAGGTCCACAGGTTTCCATCCCAAATACAATGAGATTCTCAGAACGACAGCTCTGCGTCGTCAGCCCACCCTGGGAAAACGAGTCAGCGTGACCTTGATTCCCGTGTCGGGGAGGGGACGCAGTGGTGCTGCTTTTACCTGGGTCTCAGAGATCTCATTGTCTTCTGTTAGCCTTTGGTGGGTGAATGCCTTAAACACAACTCGGGACTTCTTGTTTCCAGGAGCCCCTCCCATTTCCCCAAGTGCTGGTGGAGGGGTAAGCAGTCTTTGATCTTTCTGAGGAAGCTGGTGATGGTCTAACTTACACTCCACCCGTGGGAGGATGGCTCATCACAGACTCCTGGGGGCAGCAAAGGCCTGGGGGGATCTACTGGAGAGAGTGCGCCCTGCTCCCCACTGCAGCATGGACAGTCTCTGCTTAGAGCCTGTGACGTGCCCCCTCTCGCGGCGTTTGTGGAATCCTTCTCAGTGTTGGTGATTGTCAGAGCCTCCTGTCTCTGATGCTGAGTCTTGCTGCTCTTTGTTACAGTAAAGAAAGCAGGATGAACGGGCAGTACCAGCAGCCCACAGACAGCCTCAGCAACGACAACAAGTACGTGGTGGCTTGGGAGATGCCCCAGGCGGGGTTGGCAGGGTGGGCACATGGGGAGCAGCACCAGCAGAAGTCCCTTTTCCTGTGGCCTCTGAATTGCTTCCTCGTCTGCCTCCCGTTACTTCTGTTAGCAAAGGCTGTTTCCGGTGGGGGGCTGCCCCTGCCCAGGCTTCTGACTTCCTTCAGGCCTAAGGGGCTCTGTTCTGCCTGCCATTGGTACTGGAGAAAGGTGGCACAGGTAGAGTGGGTACCGCTGCCTCCACCACTGATCCCCACTTCTACCGAGTGTGGCTCTGGGGATTGCACCCCGGTGAGAGCTGGGAGGGCTAGAAGGCAGGTCCAGCTCCCTCCCACTGCCGCTGGTGTTGGGTTAGGTCAGGTCAGTGGCCACCTGGCCTGCCTGGGCTGGGAGTGCCCTCAGTCAGCTCTTCTCTTCCCCACTCCTCCTCCTACCAGGTACTCCCTGTTTGCTGTCGTTAACCACCAAGGGACCTTGGAGAGTGGCCACTACACCAGCTTCATCCGTCAGCACAAAGATCAGTGGTTCAAGTGTGATGATGCTATCATCACCAAGGCCAGCATCAAGGACGTGCTGGACAGCGAAGGGTACGTGGCTCCTGTGGGGGCTGGAGGAGGCCCATGGTTGCAGCCCCTTTGTCATTTGGGTCCAAAGCCACGTCTCTTTCTAGTACCTCAGAGTGACTCTTGATGTTCACATTATTTCCTGAAATAATGAGCGCTCCTTCCAGGTAGGACAGCACCTAGGTGGGCGGTAGAGAGGAGAGTGTGTCATTAACGCCCAGTTCAGAGTAGGTCTGTGTGTTGATGAAGTGCAACCTTGAGAGCATTGCAAGAGCCAGCTACCCTGTCGTGGTGGTCATAGGAGCAGTAGGCCCACCGTGAGGGCAGTGTCCTTCAGGGACAGAAGAGGCAGTGCCAGAGGAGTCGGATGAGCTCTGGTAACTTCCTGGCAGGCAGCGGGTGGTTAGGTCGCTTTGATGGGGACAGGGCAGTTCAGCAGGGGGACTCTTGTCCCTGAGGACTCAAAAACCAGAACCAGCCAAGAAGTCAGATGCAGGCCACATGCACACGTGCTTGCTTGGCGTGGACTGTTGGATTTGAATGTCTTACGAACTGGAATAAGGCCAGTATTCCTCTGCCTCCTCAGATACCTGCTGTTCTACCACAAACAGTTCCTGGAGTACGAGTAGCCTCATCCACAGCTGGTCAGAGAAAAGGAGGGCGAGGAGTTGGCAAGCCTCACCAGAAGACCCCCAGCTTCCCCGACATGGCACCACCACGGCACCCCTCCTGTGTAGATGAGCCTGCACACGTGATCCTTCTGCACCCGGGAGTCAGGGGTCAGAGTGGACGTGAACCGCCCTCCCGAGCACACGTCAGGACGGTGCCCTGGATGGGAAAGGAGCCGAGGGAGTCTGTCACTGGCGTCTCTCCTGTGCTCCTCAAAACTGGGAGATCTGGGGTTGGGGCACCCTCGTGGCATGAAACTGCCTCTGCCTGGTGCTTCCTTTTGTCCTACCACGCACACAGTTTAAAAAGGTGCCCACCTGATGAAAATAATGGGTCCACCGCGTGTAGACCAAGGTGGAGGCCAGGGCAGAGGCCTGGGGCGGCTGCGGGCTAAGTGTGGGCGGGGAGCCCATCCTCCCACTGTCTCCTGCAGCTGGAGGCTGACCCGGGGCCCAGGGCCTGGGGGCGCTGGTGCAGGTTCCCAGCACGTCTGCTCTGCAGGTAATTTAGTGTCAACTGCATGTGGAAGCATCAGCCCAGGTGTTCTCTCAGTTTTCTAGAAATAGACATTTTCTTATCCCCTTTCCCTTTTCTCTTTTTCCAAGATGGTGAATTTCATAAATGTAATAATAGTAAAGTGAATGACTATTGAGTTTATAATGAAATCTAGATCATTTCTTTATTCTCAAGAGTGAGTCTTGCTTTTTAATTGGTGCTGTTCTGTTGTGCCCTTTCCCACCCCGCTCAGCCGCTCTCCCCCTTCTGTGGTTCGCAGCAGGCAGAGGTGGCGGAGGAGGACGGGGGACAGGGCTGCAGCTCAGATCCAGTGTCTTGATCTTGGAGTCAACGGAGCGTTGTCCCGTGGTTCCATGGTCCCTTTCCCCCATTTTCCTCCTGATCTTTGGTCTTGCTGCCTGGGCAGGGCCGCGTGGTGGCTGGTGTGTGGGGTCTGAAGCTGAGTGGCCCTGCTGGAGGCCAGGTGCCTCTCTGCACTTGCTGTGACTTCAGTTGGAACAGGAATGAAATGCTTTTGTGATGAGGTGGTTTCGGAGCTGGTTGAGGAAGTTCCTTGTAAGATATCTTGCATGTATCTAGCTATTCAAACCCAAACTTAGATTGTTAGTCCACTTTTGAGAAATCACAACCTGGGGGCCTGGGGACGGAAGCGCTATTGGGACCTAGTTTGTGAATGGCCATCTCTGCAGCTCTGCCTGCCCGGGAGCGCTGTCTGCATGGACTGCAGGGTCCTGGTGTTGGGGAGAAGGAAGTGAGCGGTCTCAGGGCTAGCTAAAGAGCCGACGGGTGAGAATCTGAGGCTCTGTGGGCTCTAGGGTCTCTGCTATAGGTAATATGTGAACAGTGAGTTTGGCTGTGTTCCAGTAGTCCTTTATTTATGGGCCCTGAAATTCGAATTTTGTATAATTTACATGTGTCAAGAAAATAAATTTTTTTTAACTATTTGAAAATAAGAAAATTTCTCATAGTTGACAGGCCACACAAAGGTAGGCAGGGGACCTGAGCTGAGAAGCTGCTGCTTACTCAAAACCCAAGAAACCCAAACACCTGCCACGGGGTCGGCAGGTACAGTGGAGCCTCGTGGTGCGGTCTGTGCACACTTCCCAGTTCATCTCTGTTGTGTTTCTGTGTTCAAAGAATATAAACTAAAGCATGTGTTTAAATAAGCATTATTGGAAAGCATGGACGGCCAGGTTCTCAGGCACAGCCCCAGGCGGCCGTCTGTGTACTGTGCTGTGAAGATCTTCTTGGGAACAGATTTTTGTCTTTTAATCAGGAACAAGTCTTTTGGAAAGGAGGCTGAACTGAAGGCAGCCTGCAGGCGTCTGAACGGGGAGCCTCAGCACCCTGACTTGCAGGGTGTACAGACGCAAGTGTGAAGCCAGCAGGTGAGCCGGCTGGGCTTTCTGGCCCGTCACCCTTGGCCGGGCTGGGCCTGTGTCCTCCGTGGCCACACCCCTCCGGTCTCAGCTTGTGCCACTGTACTGGGACTGTAGAAGGGGAGGAAGATGGAGCTGCGCTCCTCTTTATAGGCACCATTGGAGACGTCCGTATTCAGGTGGATTCCCTCCTTTACTGAGGCTTTGGCACTCTTAGCACTTAGCTCTGTCCAGCTGGGAGACCCCTGGACACTCAGCTCGTGTTGGGCCTTGCCCTCAGCCAGGACCCTCAGCACTGGGTCCATGTTTCTGCTCATGTGACTTGACTTTGTGAGGAGCAGCATATTTATTTGATGGGTTTAGGGATCCCTTGTTTTAGCTCCCCGTCTGGCTCGTCAGTCAGGAGAACGGTTTTACCATTTCCCAGTTAACCACCCTGTGTAGGGAGGTGTTCAGATTGTCCCAAAGTTGTCTTACCGTGAAGGGACTCGTTGGGTGACACCCCCTGCACGTTCATGACCGTGTGCCAGGAAGAGTCTGCACGTCTGAGATGCTGGCTGTCATTCAGTGCTTCATGGTGAGACAGGTGGACTCGCCCTCTTCAGGAGTCTGGAGGCAAGGTTTTTGAGCTGGGTGGAGTGCTGGGGGCCTGGGTGGCCTGAGGGTGGTGTGGACAGCGTCCCTGTGCCTGGGACTCCTCAGCCAGGCAGCAGCCAGGGGCCGGGCCCGGGCTCTGCTCCCCTGGACCCCAGGATGGCCCCTGCGCGTCCCTGTTAGCAGCATCCCTGAGACATACCTGAGTGCTCTTGTGTTTTGGCTTGGTGTGTATGCTTTGACTTGTGTAAAATCGCAGTTCTTTTGACAATTCAAAGTGACTCGTTTCATTTACTATAACTTTAAAAACAAAAATTGTAAAAAAAAAAAAAATTCCAATGATTGTGTTGTGGTTGGAGATTTTATTACCAAGATGTTTACACCTGCCCTTTCCCTGTCGTTTTGAGGGGCTGTTTGGCGCTCTGCTCCCTGATGGCTTGTAGTCTTTCCTATGTCATAATAAAGCTACGTTTTATTCTGCAGTCTGGACCGTTCTTTCCTTACCGACACAGGGTGGCCGGAAGTGTGAGCCTCGGAGTGCAAGCATCAGCTGGAGAAGTGGCCTGGCCCCATGGTCGTGCTAGGCCTGGGAAGCCCTGTGCACCCTTCCTTGGCCCACTGCTGTTTGACCTCATTTCTCCTTGTATGGACAGGAAGAGGACGTGGAGGGCTCAGGACAGCCACATGCCTTCAGACTGGCGTGCATGAGAGTCGCCCAGGGACCCTCAGGGGCAGGAATGGTGCCGGGGTGGGATCGGCTGGCCTGGTTGTGGCACAGGAGGTGCACTGGTAGCAAGCTTCCCAATGATGAGAAAGCTGCGGGTGTAAGCAGAGGAGAAGTAGAGCCATGGCTTTGTGTCTGTCAGATTTTTTTTTTCAGTGCTGGGGATGAAACCCAGGGCCCTGTGCATGATAAGCCAGCACTCTACCACTGAGCCACACCGCCAGCCCAGCTGGGTGTATTAAGAGGCAGTTCCACATTCATACCTTGATTCTCAGACTTGTGTGTTGGCTGGCTGTGTCGGGGGGTTGGGGTGGGTCATATAATAGTTAAAGCACCGTATTTCCCCTGTCACAGCCCCATCCCTTCACCATTACCAAGTTCTCCATAAGCCCAGCAGCTTCCAGGTGGTATGTTAGAGCAGCTAAGTCCCACAGATGAGTGCCTGTTCCTCAGTGTGGATTGGGCTTTGACCAGAGTAGTCACTGGTGGGGCCCTGAGACAGGGTGGAGGTACAATGGGCAAGCGAATCCCTACCTAGACATGGCTGCCCTCTAGTGAAGGCAAACAGCCCTTTCATGTTGAAAGAGACCCGGTTGAGCCTCCTGGGAAATGACACTGGGCCCAGAATTGGCCAGAGTCTGTCTGGGGCAGATGAGGAGCTTTGGGAGTGCCACCTGGTGGGCCTTGGTGAGGGAGGGCGTATGATGTTGATCCTGTAGGGCCTTATTGCTGTGCAGTGGCTATGTTCACGGGCCCCCTGAGCAAGTGAAGGGCTAAGAGAAGTGGGCCACATGCATAGGACGCCATTTAAGTGTCCCTCGTGGGAATTCTCTGTGCTCCCACTGAAGAGGTCAAAGGGAGCATGAATCTAGACATCTTCATAGTGTCTGTTCAGCACAAGGATGATGTGCTGCAGCCCACTTTGTGTGTTCCCTGACATTCAGTGCTTTGGGATCCCAGCCAAGGAAGTGACAGTTGAGCCAGTGGGGGGTTGGTGGTTCCACACAGGACACCACAAGCAAAAGTCCTGGGGCCGCAGAGGTCCTGGTGAGTGCTGAGGCCCAAGAGGCTGGGGAGAGGAAAGACCACACTGAATCTTCACAGACTCCACCCTCAGCCACCTCAGGACAATGGGGGAGCAGGTAGATCACTTCCTACAGTTAAGGACTGCCAGACTAGTTGAACTGTGTTCTAGGCACCCCTGAGAAGTTAAACAGTGAGAGAAGGTCACGAAGGTATCATACGCATGTCAGCCTGCAAAGGAAGAGAGCTGTGGGCCCCATCTTTTTCACTGATGCACTGGGGGTGAAAGGACCAGGCACAGAGTTGTATCCTGCATCAGGTAGACCCTGGGGTCAAATTTCAACCAGAGTGAACCTGAAGCCCCAATCTGGACCAGTTCAATGGCTGCCTTCAAGTGTGCACACACACCCCTGAAATCACACCTGTTTTACTCCAGGACCTGGGAACTCATCTGAGACAATATCCATGCAACGAATTCCCCAAGGCGAATCCAGACTGTTTAAGCCCCTCCCGCCCCATCCTGCCGCCCACAGGAAGCAGTCGATGCTGTGGAGAGCACCCGCTTCTCAGAGGAGATGGGAGTTCTCACTGGGGCTCTGCGGGGTCCTGAACTAGCGATTCCCCTCTGAGGCCCCCAGACCCTCATCTGGAAAATGAGAGGAGGGGGAGGCTATCAGGAATGGTTGGAAGGTTCCCCGACCTTTTCCTCCCTGTTCCCCTGGTGGTGGCACAAAAAA